CTCACACAACTTTTCCTGGTTGACTATGGCTGACAGGAGAAAGTGAAACGCTAACTTCTGAGAGTATCTGAAATAAAGATAAAGCTATATGCACAAGTGGATATGCCTTATTTCCCACAACTTTAATTAATGAGCAGAATCTTATGTGCTGAAGGAAAAAGCAATCACATGATTAATGATATATCCCCATCTCAAAGGTGGATGAAGCACAACTGAAAAGCAGACATGTCTTTAGCAATAGTGCTCAACTGTTGCTCACTGCATTTCCTCAGCAGTTTCTATAAAACACATCCAAAAGCTAATCATCTTGGTCTCCTATTTTGGAAATATTTTTGCAGAACTGCAGTCAAGGTCAGGAATTAATTTCTATATTCTGTAGAATTTATATAGATAAATGTGTTCTGTAGCACCAAGTATGTGGTCAGAACTCAAACCTTTTCATCAGATTAAGTATCAGAGTTATAGATTAGCTCTGTCTTCTTTACAGGGCTCATACTCCCCTTTTACAAGGGTTTCTGTACACAATTGTCAAATTTGTACTGTAAAAATAATTAGAAGGCTGAGGCAGACGCTCAGAACTAAATAGCTTTAGAGAAAAAAAAAAGTGAAGGGCAAAACCAATACTTTTGTACTGCTGCTTCAGGTAGATCTCGACACAAGTTGAGGAAAGATGGAGACTACAGCTGTAGAGGCTCCTGCATTACTTACTTGTATAGTATAAGCTAATTTCTAATCTGTTCTTATCTTCTGCTAGCTTCACAGTGGAAATAAATGTATGAAGAGATCATTCTGCACTGACATGAAAGGAAGAAGGCCAACATGGCAGCATGCCCTTCTCAGTTGAATTTGTTATTCTTGCTATTTTTACCATGTTTTAAACATAATGTACACTGACATCATCATTTAGTCTCTCCTTTTTCACAGGCTACGGTTGTTTGGAACACCACACACTTCCACTACAGACTTTAACACAGAGCTGACTGAAACAGGGAAAGCAAAGTATAAGAGCACACAGGAGAAAATTCTTAGATTTCATAGGTTTTAAATCCTATTTTTGGACATTTCTTGTATTTTCAACAGCAGGCCTCTTCAGTGTGTAGGACTTAAGCCCCACACAATAACTTATTCACTGCCACAGCTGTCCAACTCTGGTCGATGGTGTGCAGACACACAAAGCTCTGGGCCTGTACATCTCTCCCTGCCTACACAGACATGCACTATCTACAGCCCTTGTTGTCCCTCATCGTCTCTCTTCCTCTACCTACCCCATCGAACCAAGCACCAGAGCAGGAAACAATTATCACATGGAGCTGTTAACACAGCTGTTCCTGCTCTCCTGCAGCCAGGAGGGGACAAGTTCTGTGGGGTCAGATAACTCATCCCAGCCATGCCCAGTGGGGCACACTATTTCCAAGAAGATAAAATTCTGTAATGCATCCTGGCATAACCCCTGCAATACTGATTTCCGAAGAAGACCTTGACATCCCGTTTCAACTTGGGACATAGAGGACTGCTAATCCTTTTATACTCCAGCCAAACCATCCATGTCATGAATTGTGTCACAGGCAACATTCATGACAGAAATTTCACATACATCATCCTCACTATTAAACACAGTTCTTTGCCCTGTCCTTCTGCATTTGACATTCAAGTAGCAAACGGTGGCAGATCTGCTGTGCAAGTAATTGTGACAGTTCCAGAACCATGATGACAACCTTATGCAGACAAAATTCTTTAAAGCTGTGAAGATGTTCCTTTCCTTCCCCTCTGCTCCCCCTTCCCCGTTGCATAAGCTTATTTTTCAACATTTGGCAAGAGAACGAATGCATTAGATCACAAAGGACCAAATCTGTTGCTGTTGTTTTCCTTTTAAGCTTCCTTAATTAGGCCTCCAGTTTTTGGAAAGTAAAAGGAAAGAAATGCACTGTGGTATAGAACTATCAATATTAACGAACAAGACACATCTCCAGCTTTTAAAAATATTCTGTTTGAGGCTAAATCAGAGTATCTAAAAGTGACCTATTTGGAATAAGTATGTCATCAAGTTCGATATTTAGGTCAGTTTTTGTGCAATAATTCTAGTCTGTCCTGAAAACAGTTCTCTTCACCTCAGGACATGTACATATAGGAAAACCAATCCTAACACCTATTCATCTTCCTAAAATTTATGGAGGCAGAGCACAAGAGCTGTCTTGGCTGTGATAGATTCCACTGTTAGAATGAACCTGATTATACAGGAGCGATGCTTATTTTTAATTAAATTGAACCCCAGTCTCAACAAACATGAATTCAAATCTTTTCAAGCATACACATATTTATTGCAGGAGTGATGCGTTAGGATTTGTCTCATTCTGAAACACCACTAAAAAGTCAACACTGCCAATATTCTGTGGGGAGAAAGACTGCAGAGCAAGCATTCTTTGCAAGTCTCCTTTCAAGATTGAGCTTGTTATTTAAAAGTTGAAATAACATCATCTTCTAGCTCTTATGAAGCATACAGAAGACAGACATGAAATTTTTTTTCATAGTTAAAAACTGAATTGAGCAATTTTAATGAAATATTTTACCAGGGATTTCCTTCTGAATAAAAATTTATAATTAAAGCTTTCATTACACTAAGAAAGGATCAGAAGCCTAGCACATATCAGGAGAAGAACCACTCTGATGAGCTATCACTGAATGTAAGTTAACACAAACATCACTTTCAGAACAAACGCCATTAAACAACATCTATATTTAAAATACAGTCTTAAATATTATTCATAGCAACTCACAAAAGTGCAAATACTATATACATTACAAGTATTAGGAAAGAATCTGTAAGCACCATGTGACCTAGCCCACAGAAAGCAACTAGAAGCTAAGTTTCAGAGCCATAATACCTCCATTCCTAAATTTCCTTGCTTTTTGAAACACAGTATTTTCCTGGTTAGCATGAATATTTCAGCAGCTTTGAACTTGATTCGTTTCCAAACACCTGAGGCAGAATACCTCATATAAATGTTGGGTGTTTTTCCTAGCATAAAAAAATTAGTTTGCCTGAACTACAGAGCTGAAGATTCAACTTCCATCATTTCTTTATACATGTAAATCAGGTGTGGTGCACCTTACAGTTAAGCACTTTGACACAAACAGCACCAGCTGGAGGAAATTTGAGTTACTTCTGCAGCATTACTAGTTTCTCTGTTTTTGTTCTTCAGAAACAGTGTCACTGTGCAGCACTTCCCACACAACTGCCTTGCATACAATCATGCTTGTCTCTGTTTTTCAGTCTCAGGACAGGAACCCCAAACATCAAAAAAAAAACTTGAAGTGGCAAAGTACTGTTTGAAAACCCATGAATACAGAATGCCAAGTTTCAGGTTTGGGGGCTGGGAAGTTGGGGAAAATGCCTTTATTTTTCCTCTAAGCATGTTTTACCAACTAAAAGAGTAGCATTGAGAGTTTCTTCACATCTGACAGTCTGAAAAGACACTTGAAACTATGTATTTTCTTTCTCCACTTACATCAAAATGGGAGGTTATGGTGAGTGCATGGGGATGTGTTCTCATGCTGGCTATCATCCCAATGCTGTTAGTCATTTGGGTGAACCAGAGAGAAAGAGAGAAGCACAGCATGGCACAGAACAAGCTTATGCTGCCAGTAACTCAGAGGGGCTTTCTGGCCATTTATCTCTAGCTCTGAAGTTCATTGTTTTCCACTGTTTTCCTCACTCATTAGATTTGCTTTTCATTTATCTGATGTCAAACCCTCTGGAGATGAAAGGACACTGCTGTCCTAGAGACAGCCCCAAAGCGGCAAGAACTCAAAAACCTGACACCCCATGCCTCACCATCTCATAAAACATGCCTTGGGGATTTTTACCTTGAGGCTTAACAGACCTAAGCAGATATGCCAGAACAACTTCTTTAAAAAGAATTCTAAAACTTACTAGGAAAAAAACCCTAAAAGACATTTTAAATGATGCATGTGCCTGAAGGTGCATTAGTTACTGTTAGAAGAAAGTTAGATATATAATCAAACCTCTTAAAAAGCCCAGAACCTAGGCTGTATCACTGGAAATCATCTGGATAATATATTATTGCAATCTAAAGACAAAAAAGATCTAGTGCTGAGTGTTTTTAAGCACTGCTACATAAAATTATATAGTAAAGAGCATTGATAGTCCCATCAAGTACAAAAAAAAATGAACAGTTTAGGTCCAACTACAAAACCAAATAGAGGATGCTGACAGGACAGCAAAATAAGTCTATTGTAAAAAGTATGAGGAGTAGAGTGGTTCAAGATATATAAGGCTTTAGCAAAATAGTGGCAGGGATTAGGTGATAAAACAACTGCAAAAACACCTTTCAATGACAAAGTGGAACTGAAGAGTTAAATGAAATGACACGGGCCCCAAATTCCTATAATTGTGTTCTAAGCCCAGCATAAAATTTGCTATACAAAGGTTTTAGTTAGTAACCTTTTTTCACTGACAAGAAATTATTTGCATATTACAAATAACCCAAAAATCAAATAGTTATTAAACTAGAGAGAGGTTCAGCAACACTTCAAAGCAGGAGAAAAATCCTTTATTCTAGCAACTTAATATCTAGGTTCTGTGTAAGGAATTAATTTTAAAAATCCTGACATTATTTTATTAAAACACCAAAAGACAGCTTTTTAACTGAAATGTTGACAGTTATATTTGTAATCCTTATTGTTATAATGATCTCAATAGATCCATTCAGCTAGCTAATAAGAAAATGGAAGAAGTTCAGTACACCACTTTGCTTACACAACCTCAGTAGAAAGAAGTCTTGGTGTAAATGCAGAATTCATCTCCCTATTGCCTGTTACCAAGAGCTCTCAAATTGAGTATTTCCACACAACACTTACAGCAGCAACAGCAGTTCTTGTCAATCAACCCAGAAGAGGGACAGTATTGCTTCATGGAGAAGACTGAACTGGGGGAAACTCTCCAAACATCCCATTCACACCAGAGTTAGCAGCGTTCTCACCTTTGATGCTTGTCGCAGCCATCGCAGATATTCAGTGAAGTTATCAAAACAAATGTAGTAGGTCTGGCTTTGAGGTCCAGAGGAGCTAAATGCTAAACAGTGCTGGTGCTTTTTCACTTCTTCCACCTACAGCAGAGACACAAAACTGGGAGTCAACAAGAATCAAAACTCTCTTTGCAGAACTCCCCAAGGTAATGATCGCCCAAGAGGAGATCATTAAGTAGAGCTGGACTAGCCATCTCAAACACCCAAACTGGATCTTGGCTGACAAATATCCATGAAATCTACATGAGCAGGAATGAGAACTGAAGGAGGAGAGAACTAATGAAGAAAACCACCAAGAACATAAACATTTTAATAGAAACTGAATACCATAAAAGGTTTGCCAATGAAACGCATTTAAGACTGTTTTTATGCAACCTAAAAAAATACAGTTTATACTCCCTGGTTATTAAAAACAGGCTTAACAAAATGCTTCTCTTACAGCCCAATTAAATTCTTTGGCATTTCTCAACTTGCTAAAAAACACCCAGAATACATCATTCTGGTACCATACACGAGAAGTCCCACACAACTTATGGTCTCAATGCCTCAGTACAGCATTCTGGAAAGCCTTTGCAAACCAGGAAGTGCACAGTATTTATGAGGATGAAGAAGAATATTTTTTGAGCAATAATTTAAAAAACACTTAGTTCTGTGCCAAGCACCCTCCTCCCAAGCTTTGTCAGCAGAAGCCCTCAGTACATTTTTCTGAGCTTAGTTATCCTTTTCTTTTAAAATTTGTTGTCAACTTTCTGCTCAACACAGTCTGCATGTTTTACATCACATAAGGCATTTCTGTGCAAAAGCTACTTAGAAATTACACATTAAGCAATTAAAATGGTACAGAATCTTTTCCCTTTTTAAATTAAAATAAGTATATTGACATGAAAAGAATATTAATCTCAAGGAGAAGGCTTATGGGAACCTTAATCCTGCCCTTTCCAGGAACCTAAAACCAGGAATACAATTTACTCTCACAGTTCACACCCTGTTGCCAAAAGAGGACAATGTTTCTACTTCAGTATCTCCCTGGAAGAGCTGGAGAATCTTTTGAAGAATCATAAAACAGGTAGGAAAAACAGAAGGCAGAACTACTTTTCACACTGCTAGTATAGAATATTAATGAATCAACTCTATTCTGCATATATAATATTTTGAAGCTTGTTTCTCGCCAAATAACTCTTTAGAATTTAACTTTATGTAAGGTAAAGGAGGATTACTTAAGGTGTAAATTCATCCTCAAGACGATGATTCTCTTCCCATTACCTCAGCTAAATAAGACTGATAGTTTTCTGAAACACTACTTAGATTACAACAGTGTTGTAATCTTACTGTATTCACTACAGTTTCATGGAAGAGTTAAGGTGGGAAGGGACCTCTAGAGGTCATCTGGTCCAACCCTCTGCTCAAGCAGGTCCACCTACAGCCAACTGCCCATGTCCAGATGGCTTTTAAGTATCTCCAGGGGTGATGGATATGCCATCACTCATCTGGGTAACCTATGCCAGTGCTCAGTCACCATCACCATGGGAAAAAAATTTCTTTGTGTTCAGTCCAGGATTCCTGGCTTTTAGATGTAATCTATCAGAAAAAAGTTTGGCTTCAGCTCCTCACAAGGAAAAATGTTTGCTGCCATTAGCTTACAACAGACCACTATTCATACAATGCTGAATACTCAAAACTCCCCCAATGCTCAGAATAAGCCCATGCCCTTATTTATTGATTTTCAGAACTTAAGAATAACCCAGCATGGATAAAACCTGGATGAGGAGGAACAGCATAGATCATACATGGTAGATACGCACGTATCTTTTGGCTGTATGCTACTGCACGTTTAAACTCCTTAACGCTGTACACAAGAAAATGACACTGACTGTGCATCCATTGCTTCTCTTTGTAGTTTTAATCCAAAAATTCTAAATGGTTAAATATGACCAACCATAATCAAAAGTCATTTATATACTCTGAAAATCCCATTTACAGAAACAAGCTTTTGGAAGGTCAGAATCGTCCTAATCGAATGCAATCTTCTCTTCATAAAAAGACACAGGTTAACCAAGCAAATAAAAAAATAAAATATCTTACTTTTCCACCAATTAAAGGGAGGACATGCATCTTTCCAGTCTGGCTTTCTTTTACTGATGAGACAATTAGGCATGTTCCACAAAGGATAGCTTGGCGTCTTGTCCATCTGTTGACTGGCAAATGTATTTTCCCTTTTCGAACATTGTACATTCCTGAGAGCTGAATCCGTTCGGAGCTGCCAGTGCTGTGGGGCTTTCCTGAAATAGAAACAAAAGCATCCACTTAATCACAGAAAATCTTCGCCTCTTTCACTCAAGTCATCCTGACACTTGATCAGCAAATTTTCAAGCTACAAACAGCAGCATGACAAATTAAACACAGCTTCAAAGCCATGCAAGCAAGCAATTCAATATTAGCTTCAGTACAATCTTCTTCCATAGGTAGAAGGATGTGACAGGTTGGTATCATGAGGAGCAGGTTACATTAAATAATCAGCAATAATCATAGAAGCACCAACTAATGGTATCAGCCTTCTCTATGGAATCTGGAAATCAAATGTTCATCCGCAACATAAAGTATTTGGTTCCTGTTGAGTTCACATGGCATGTGGTAACTGCAGAAGGGAGTGATGTAGTGCATGCTGACCCTTATCTTTGCATTTCCATGTCTCCTCTGGCTATCCTTCAGGTCATGGTTCAACCAGCTTCTAAAGCTTTCCAAAGAACACAGGTCCTATCTTCCCCAGCCCACACTGCTCAGCCCAAACCCCACAGCGGAGGCAGCACACTCAGCCATTACGTTAGCAGGTGCAACCTAGATGAAACCCCTCAAAGACCCTGCTTTAGTCTGAGTAGAGATTTGAAAAGAGTCAAGTTCTTTAGTCTGTATTACAATGAATTCACTATTTTCAGTAATTCAGATTGTTAGCATAACTACCAATTAGACCAAGTCTGTTAAACAACTTTAAAAGTCTACGATTCTACTAATCTAATCTATTACTATGATTCTGCCCTATAGAAAACATCATGAGCAATGGCAAAACAAAGACAAGCATCTCTCACCTCTGCTCTTTCAGGATGTAAACGGGAGGCACAATTTACTCATTCTAATCTGATTTATCTACACCAAGTTACCCTATCAAACCCTAAACAGTCCAGCCCAGATCTGAGTCATCCAAATATATCTAAGTATTTTGCAAACAGAGACAAGAGCTAATCATGTTCAGGTTAAACCAGTTCAAATTTATGTAAGAACACCAGTGTTGGTGAACTTTGGGAGGGAGCTCCCCTGAATAAACAAACCAAAGGGCATGTTAATTCCAAGTAGCTTCCCCATCATGATAAAAGATAAATCACTAATTTTCCTGCACTGATGTTGACCGAAATTCTTAAACACAAGGAATTAATTAGGACTTATTACTAGGGCTCCAGAAAAGCAAAGAGTTGATTCTAACACCAATATTTCAGAGCTGTTCCTACTGATCTCCAGCAGTGACAAGTGCTGCACACTTATTTCCACTCACTATTATTCCTGCTTGCATGACAGCTCATTTGTCTCAATGAGTCTGCTCTTGCCTTCAAATTATCTACAGAAAGATAGAAGACACCTACCACATGCCCTACCCACTGCCATTCTCTCACCCCTGCCTAGCCCATGTCAATTCTCATCCTTATCTTTAAAGGCAGCCTTTTTGAATCTTCCTGCCAATTTAATGAGCCAACACTTGGCATAGTTACCCTCGAGCCTTGCTCTGCTCTAATAAACACTAGCATTTAGGCTACCAGTGTCTGCCAGTTTGGATTGCGAGAATATCACTATTGCTTGAAGCTGAAACATTGAAACTTTAATGCCCACAAGGTATCGCATCAAATTCAAACAACAGGTGCCCCACAAAAGCCAGATCCAGGCAAGAAAGCAATAGTTACACTGCCAAGCAAATTTGTATCCAACCACAGAAGCTGTGGATTAACTCTTCGCCTAACAGAGGGAAATGGGACACCGGTTCCATGCAAAGCCACAAGACAACTTATAGAGAATACAAGCGAGTAAATTAGAGCAACTCAGCCTTAACAAACACAAAAGCTGAATAGAAGATTACATATGGAATATGAAACATTTAGTTCTTAAAGTAACTGAGTGCAGAATGATGGGCTTCATGTCACAGAGCACTGATTAAAGAATTAACACATACTAACAACCGTATCTCTGCAATGGAGTAAAAAGCTCCTGGTAAATACTAACAGCACAACTGCATAAGGAATAGCTGTCAGAGATGTGTGCAGGTGCACCTCCAAAATTATGTTTTATCTTCCCAGGTCTGTTTTCTGACTGCGTGCTCTCTAACTTCTCAAGAAAAGCAGACCATGCTGCTGATAGAAACCCCATAAGGACTGCAAAGCATAACCTCAATCTCTTGGCAAAACAAGCTCGTTTAGCATTTCAGCATAACCAAATGCAACATTCACAAACATCCAGGGCAACATGGTTAGACGTGTGTCCTGAAAAACACCAAACCTCAGAAATTTTTCAGGAATATCGTAGATAGCAAGGAATACAAACTCTGGCTACAGTCCTGCAGCCAGGAGGCTTGGTAGGAAACACAACAGCATTCTGGAACAATAAAGTAGTATAGCATTATCCCACCCAGTCCAGTGGTAAAGTGAGTATCATACTAGGTACTCAGACGTCACAAAGAGTACGGAAAAGTCAGTTGTGGAAAGAAAAATAAATTCAGATGCTTGAGAAATCTGTTTTCTAGGACCAGACTCTCTTGGACTAGGTACATGATATCAGGCACAGCAGGACCTGAAACTACTACTAGTAGTATTTTTACTACTAGTAAAACTACTAGTAAACTACTAAACCAGTAAACTACTAGTAAAACTACTCAGAAGTCTCTAAGAAGTAGTTCTTAAAATTTCATGTAAATTCAGTTTGTCACAAAATGTGACAAATGTCACAAGATACAGTAACAATTAGTATCATTGGTAAATGTTTACTAGAAAAACTGGAAGAGAGCTATCACTAGGAGTATTCCCGCTAGATATGAACTGTATTTTCTCTCAAACTTCATATTTGAATGGAAAATTACTGGAATAAGAACCTTTAGTTACTCCTACATATACCAAAACCAAAAATTTAATAACTTTAAACTCAAAGGAACCCTTCAAAGGATTTAAGGTGCTTTTTCCCAGCACTTACTATCCTTTGCTAAGTGAAAGCCAGAAGGTTCTTGATGAGAACATACAAAAATAAACACCAGACCTATTTCATTAAAGCGAATGGTTTCTTTCTTCCTATTCTTGTCTACTTCACGACATAACCAACCATCTGGTTGGACCAGATGATCTTCCAAGGTTCCTTCCAACCTGGGCTCTTCCATGATTCTGTAACTTGAAAAGCTCATGTTTAATATTGGATCACATGTTGTTGCCTGAGATGCAATCTGCTCACATATTCAGTTTTCCTCCTGCTTAAGGACTGTAATCATTGATATTTGATAAAACCCTGTGATACTATTATCATGCAAGTGGGGAAAAAAAATGGGTCAAAGGGCACTGATTTTGGCTTATTTTGATTGTAAGCAGAGGTTAATCAGGAACATACCAACTAGTTGTAGAACTAAATTCCTAGATTCCTAAATCTGCCCGAGTATTTTTTGCAGGTAACTGTGAGCAAAAGCCGTTTGAAAAGTAGCAGCCTTGCCTACTGAAAAATAAGCTTGGATAGACAGAGCTTTAAAGAGCTCGGGTATTAGCTGCCAAGAGAGCATGAAAGCAGGAGAAGTTTAAATGACAGTGAGCTTTCCCACAGCAGAAGTGGGATGGGGCTTGGAAAGAGTGTGACGCGATCTAAGGCTGGCTGTTCCTCACTTCAGGGAGGAAAGCAGCAGGTGGCAGAGTCTCCTGTAAGAGGGCTCGTCCCTGAGAGGCTGGGGAGTGGAGGACAAGGGAAAGGCTCAGAATGACACCTGCAGTTGTCTATGACCTGGAAAATAGTCAAATCAAAAGGCAAATGACCTTCTTTCTTACAAGCGTACAGAAAGATGGGGAGCAATTTGGACCTTTAGGCTACAAATTAAACACCACAAATTACGGCATACCTACAGCATCACCACCAAAAACCTGTTGGTTTTGGGGTACCCTACCTCAAACAGTACCAGTGGAAGCACTGCTTTCAGTAAAAGCATCAGCAGATCTGAAATTGTGTTCCTCAATCTGTGTCACAGACCTCCCAGTCAAGACTTAGAAGGCTGTATGAGATTCACATACAGTTCAGTTTTAACTAACCCTGAAGAAAGCAAATGACTTTTCACAGGGGCCTGTGATATTATACCAAAGCCAACAGTTGTGCAGGTAAAAGGGTAATAATGATCCTTTGCAACTCGAAACATAAATTTCAATCTTGCCAAAAACTTTAAATATAATTATTCCACTGATCAGAGTGAAGGCAAATAAGCCAGAACATCCAGAAGAGTCACATACCAGAAAATGTTTTTCAAACACTAAGCCCAACCAAAGCAGTTTTGAGTATTTTAGCAAGAAACCATAAAAAGATTATTTTTCATTCCTGTCAGGTCTCCAAGACTACAGCAACTCCTAAGCACCCCCACAACAGGACTTTTGTTCTGTGCAAGTCATTAGAAGAGATGCCTCAAGGAATTATGAGCAGACCACTCATTTGGCTATCTTGATATTCATGGCTGAATTCCTCTCAGTTTTAACTCCTCCCAAGTCCTGGAGGGAAGCTAGCAGTATTCACAAGGATAAAGAAAAGCAAGAAATTTGATTGAAACAGCAGGACTGTCATTGGAACCACAGAACCTACCCTGTGCTTCATAGTAAGCAGGATGGGACAGGAGTGATCTTTCCACGATGTTAAAGAACTAAGATCTCACCACAGGCAGCCTGAGAGAGCTCCGAGTACACAATACACTGACATCCTGCCTGGTGCTGAGACATCAAACCTTATTAAATAAATACGCATAGCCACTTGCTTTGGATTCTGCAGTAAAGCTCTTTATCCCAGCAATGGAAGGCATATGGAATAAATTACCATCAGAAGTTATAAAATACCAGCTCATTATGGGACATAAAAGTACTTAGGGAGAAAAAAACCCTCTCTTCAGCTATACGGCTGATTAAGTTGCAAGTACTTAGTATTCCCCCCTGTTTGAAAAGTACAGCCAATAAAGTCTGCCTCTAAAGAGCGACTTAAGACATTACCAAAATAAGAGCAGGGAAAAGTGTTGACAT